TGTTATTAACTTTAGCACCTGTTGTTAAGTTTAGCATCTGTTATTAACTTTAGCACCTGTTGTTAAGTTTAGCATCTGTTATTAACTTTAGCACCTGTTGTTAAGTTTAGCATCTGTTGTTGTCTTTTTGTTTGTTTGTATGTGTCACATCTGTTGTTGTCTTTTTGTTTGTTTGTATGTGTCACATCTGTTGTTRCAGTTTTGTTGTCTGAGGAAAGATGTTGAATAAAAACAAAAACAACAGGAAGTCTTGGTGACAGGTTTACCACTGGAACAGAGAAATTATTTTTATACCAAATAAATAAATAAAAATAGGCTAACYAATGTCTTTAACATTCTTTACCAAGCAGAGCTAGCTAAAGGTGAAGCTAAACCTGAACTAACTTTTTTATGTTCTCAGTTTGTTTCTGTATAAAAACGGTAATAAAAGTTGAAAATATGCACATAATGATACAAGTTTTTGGTAAAAACTTCCAAGCAAACCTTTTCTCTGCACCACAGGCTAACTCTAATAAAACATTCAGGGCGACTCAGAACTGTGTAATAAATTGTCTTTGATCATAAATGTCCTGGCTTTGAGTTTTGAATACTAACACCACTTTCTGCAGCAAAACAAGTGTCCACATGTGTGACAGCAGGTCAGAGCAGCTGAACTAACGCCAACTAAAACTTTATTGTTCCATATTTTGTCCTCTGGTAATGTCTAAAAGCATCAACATATTTTTTGTCTCACAGTCTTTGTCAGTTGTAAGCTCTGAACTTCAGCTCCAACCTTGTGGTGATGCAAACTTTAATGGACCAAAGGTTTTAACCATTCATTGTACATTTTGTGTTGTTCATACTAACGTCCATTCAAACTGATATTTAACACCTGGATGTACCTCAGTGTGTACTCAGAAATGTGTTATTAACAGTTAGCTACATCAGCTCCTTGTCTCAGCTTAACAGCTGATCTAAAATCAAAAATACAAATCATAACACAACGAACATTCAGACACACTTTCAGCTGTTTGACAACATTCCTAAAGTTAAAAATCTGATAGTTGCACTTTATACCTGAATGACTTTAAGAATGAAATGTTRTACTTTTTATCACTAATACATCTGCGTGTTTTGGTTGTGTTTAAGGACCTGATGTAAGTATCTGAGATGAAAACTGGTGGTAAAGAAGGTCAAATAAAAACGAGGAGAAAATCACAAACATATGATTGACAGGATATCTAAAATAACATATTTCATAAACAACAGAACATGTTGGATTCAAAGCTACTTTCACTCCCTGCTCAGTGTTGCTGCTTAGTAGTACTTTTTTTTTGCTACTAAGGGAAAGTATTAAGATGTTTTTGTAACATAAAKATCAGCAGTTTGCATTATTAAAATAAAATAACTGCATCTTATGTCCTAACTTGTTGTTTTCTGTTGTTTTTTGGGGGGTCGGAGGGGTCAAACACACATCAGGAAGACAAATAAGACAAATGAAAATTTGAAAAAGTATTTTTAATTCAGTAAAAAAWAAATCCCAACATAAATGGTTTGGTCCAGTCTTGTTCCATGTTAARGCACAGATAATTAATTTGTTTACATGTTTAAAGAAACAGACGTTTTCCAGGTAGAATATATTCAGGTTTAATTTTTTCAGGTATTTATATAAAACTGATCGTTGATAACGCCTCATTAATGCAGACATGTTTGTTTGTTATTATAAAACATGATTAATCCTTTGTGTTTCACATGTAAATGGTTATAAAAGCTAATTTTTAAAACACTATTTGGACCTACAACCAGTGTTTGAAGCACTTCTTTGGTTCAAGATGATTGTTTTTCCTGGAGTTAAACCAATGGATCTGGGTCAAATGAGTCTGCTTAGTAAGCAGCTAATTAAAATAATTAAAGCTGCATCATTTTGGTTTGTTTTTTCTCAGTTTTGGTGAGTTTCTCTTTAGTTTGTTGTGACAGTTTCAGAGTGCAGCACTGTGTTCACCTGATGTTACACAGCTGACAGCGCACCATGACTCATCGTTCTGATGCAGAGCTCTGTGACTGTTTTTCTCCCACATCATGTCTGATAAACATTTAAATCATCAAGAGAAAACGACCAAAGGATGGATGTGAAGTACAGAGGCCAACAGGTGCAACGTACTGTAAAAATATAAATGATACAAACTCCCACAGAAAACATGCAACAGAAAAATGCTGTGATCACAAAAAATAGAATCAAAAACATATATATNTTTAGCATCTTTTGCTAACTTTAGCATCTTTTGTTAGCTTTAGCACCTGTTGTTAACTTTAGCATCTTTTGCTAACTTTAGCATCTTTTGTTAGCTTTAGCACCTGTTGTTAACTTTAGCATCTTTTGCTAACTTTAGCATCTTTTGTTAATTTTAGCACCTGTTCTTAACTTTAGCATATTTTGCTAACTTTAGCATCTTTTGTTAACTTTAGCACCTGTTGTTAACTTTAGCATCTTTTGCTAGCTTTAGCACCTGTTGTTAACTTTAGCATCTTTTGTTAATTTTAGCACCTGTTCTTAACTTTAGCATATTTTGCTAACTTTAGCATCTTTTGTTAACTTTAGCACCTGTTGTTAACTTTAGCATCTTTTGCTAACTTTAGCATCTGTTGTTAACTTTAGCATCTGTTGTTAACTTTAGCATCTGTTGTTAACTTTAGCATCTTTTGCTAACTTTAGCACCTGTTGTTAACTTTAGCATCTGTTGTTAACTTTAGCACCTGTTGTTAACTTTAGCATCTTTTGCTAGCTTTAGCATTTGTTGTTAACTTTAGCATCTTTTACTAACTTTAGCACCTGTTGTTAACTTTAGCATCTGTTGTTAATTTTAGCATCTGGTGTTAACTTTAGCATCTGTTGTTAACTTTATCATATTTTGCTAACTTTAGCACCTGTTGTTAACTTTAGCATCTGTTGTTAACTTTAGCATCTGTTGTTAACATTAGCATCTTTTGTTAACTTTAGCACCTGTTGTTAACTTTAGCATCTGTTGTTAACTTTAGCATCTTTTGCTAACTTTAGCACCTGTTGTTAACTTTAGCGTCTGTTGTTAACTTTAGCACCTGTTGTTAAGTTTAGCACCTTTTGTTAACTTTAGCATCTTTTGTTAACTTTAGCATCTTTTGCTAACTTTAGCACTTGTTGTTAACTTTAGCATCTGTTGTTAACTTTAGCATCTGGTGTTAACTTTAGCATCTGTTGTTATCTTTAGCATCTGTTGTTAACTTTAGCACCTGTTGTTAACTTTAGCATCTGATGTTAACTTTAGCATCTGTTGTTAACTTTAGCTTCTGTTGTTAACTTTAGCATCTGGTGTTAACTTTAGCACCTGTTGTTAACTTTAGCATCTTTTGCTAACTTTAGCACCTGGTGTTAACTTTAGCATCTGGTGTTAACTTTAGCATCTGGTGTTAACTTTAGCATCTGTTGTTAACTTTAGCATCTGTTGTTAACTTTAGCATCTGTTGTTAACTTTAGCTTCTGTTGTTAACTATAGCATCTGGTGTTAACTTTAGCTTCTGTTGTTAACTTTAGCATCTGTTGTTAACATTAGCATCTGGTGTTAACTTTAGCTTCTGTTGTTAACTTTAGCATCTGGTGTTAACTTTAGCTTCTGGTGTTAACTTTAGCATCTGTTGTTAACTTTAGCTTCTGTTTTTAACTTTAGCATCTGGTGTTAACTTTTGCATCTGTTGTTAACTTTAGCTTCTGGTGTTGACTTTAGCATCTGTTGTTAACTTTAGCTTCTGGTGTTGACTTTAGCATCTGTTGTTAACTTTAGCT